AGAGACAGAGAAACGGAGATAAATTGCGACATGTTGATATTATGCTGCTAACCATGCATATTATTTTGGTATTGCAGGTGGAGAGTCCGGAGTTCGGAATCCACGACGAGTTCTGTACAGAGTTATGGCCCTTCCACACACTCAGACAGGCTTATGGCGTGGCGTTCCTGGTGGGCATGTACCTGGTACCTGGTGGCGCTATTGTTGTCCTCTACACACTCATGGGCTGCAGGCTGTGGGCCAGGGACACTCATCTACACAGACAGGTCAGTTTGTGATTAATTGAAATGGTTTTACGCCTCCTTCAACACAGTTTACATCGACTGCAGGTTTGGGGGTTCGAGCCTCAGCTCGGCCCGGCGTTGTGTTCTTGGGAAAGGCCCTTCACAGGAATTTTCCACTTGGTTTGGTCTTTTTTGGACATGGACGTTAAACACATAGGTCCCTCCTCTTGAATAACCTGATAGTGTTGATAGGGGCGTTATACCTACACCATTTCACCATTTTCGCAGTTTAGATCACACAGGAGACGGGATACTGCGACCATGAATGCTAGAGCCAACCCGTACTGAGCGGGGTAGGATACCACGGACAAATGGAGCTACTCGATTGAATATTATTTGCTTTAGCTGAAGAAGGGGTTTGTCTAGAAAGATTACTTTAAAGATAAATCGTTGGCGTTCAACCTCTGGTTTGTGGCTCAAATGAATCCCCAGTGGTCCTCAAAGCATCGTCGAATACACAAAAATTACTAACAAACGTCTCAACTATCTTATAAATGCACTTTCAATTTTATATTTTAATATTACTGTGTATTTTGTTATTAAAACGTATTCATGTTTCCCAGAGCTCAGTAGGTAATAAATGTTTTAAAAGCAGTCTCCGCCCATAATTCTATCCCATACGAACGTGAAAGTGAAAGGCACTCAGACACAGGCTGTAATGCCCCCCCCCCCCCCACACACACACCCTTAAAAAAAATTAAATCAAATAAAATAGAAAAGAAAAGAAAAGAAAACTAAACTAAACTAAATTACTCAACTGATATAGAAATAAAAGAAAAAAATGCCACACAAAACAACCATTCAGCCTAGGTTGGCCCTGACTTTCAGAGTTGATTGAGTTCGCTTCCTAATAATGATTGCAATCTGTTGAATTTGCAGGCACACACCTTTAAGGGGTCTTGGAAGATTTGTCAAAAACTTTTATATCTTTAGAAATGTTCGCCTTCTTTAAATAATATTATGTCTTAGATCGTAGTTATTTTAATTGATCTTAATTTCGTCTTGAAAGATTTTGTCAAGAACATATTTTTAAAAACCCAGCAATTTAGCCTCCTGTATTCTCTGGCACTTTCTACTGTCATGGTATTTGAGATTGATCTAAATTGTGTCATGGAGTGAGGGGGTGATATTTAACTCCCCTTCCCACACCAACCCCCCTTCCCTTCCCCAAAAAATATTCTGAAAAAAAATTGTTCAGAGCACATTTAATTTGAAAGATATTTGGGGGGGCTATACAACAAAACCCCCAGTGCAGTCCTCGGCCAGGTGAACGTAGGGGAATGGTTCCACATTACCGTCGGTGCATGCCCAGGTTGCTTGCTGTCACCTACCCTGTTCAACGTCTTCCTTGAACAAAAATCATAACTTATGCCCTTGAAAATCATACGCGCACAGTCAGCATCGGTTGATGAATAGTTACTATCCTCAGGTTCATCGATGACATAGGAAAGGAAGAAGAACTTGCAAGACTGGTGAAACGACTGGATCAAACATCAACTAGATATGGCATAGAAATTAATGCCGAGAAAACGAAGTTGATGAGAAATAGTGACGAACTAATTAAAACCAAAATAACAGTCAATTGTCAACAGCTTGAAACAGTCGACCAGTTCAAGTACCTTTGTGCTATCCAAGCCAGACTGAAGTCCATGCACGAACTGCACAAACAACATGGGGCGCTTACAAAACTAAGACCAATATGAAAAGACATAAATATCTCAGTCAATTCCAAAATCAGCCTGCAAAATGCCCTCGTCATCTCCATCTTTCTGTATACTTGTGAATCATTGACCTTCACGGCAGAGCTGCAGAGGAAGAACCAAGCAGCCGAAATGAGATGCTTCAGACGACTCTTTAGCATCTCATACAATGACCACGTCACAAATGAAGAAATTGCAGTAGAGTGAAACAACACATGAGCCACTATTTAGACTTGCTGTCTACTGTGAAGCAAAGAAAACTGAATTGGTGTGGTCATGTAACAAGATCGTGTGGCCTATCCAGTACCATTCTTCAGGGAACTGTGCAGGGGAGGAGAAAGAGAAATAAAAGGGGGAAATAATAGAGGTTTAACGACTCTATCAACACTATTAGGTCATTTAAGAGACGGGACCTCCGAGTCAAACGTCCATCTCCGAAAGGACCGAGCCAAGTGGGAAATTCGTGTAAAGTGCCTTTCCCTAGACGGTCAGAGATAGTATAAGAACGTATAGGCCTTTCCCAATGACACAGCGTCGGACCGAGCTGAGGCTCGAACCCCCGAACCCGCAATCTCACGATTACGAGTCAGGTAGCCTAACCACTAGGCCACCGACCACCGACGCCGGAGAAAGAGAAGAAAGCAAAGAAAGAGGTGGACCGAAAACAATCCTGACCGGACAGGGAAATCCTTCGCCCGAACTCTGGCGCTCGCTAAAAACCGTGAAAAGTGAAGGCAGCTGACGAGGATCTCTATCACACAGTGTCCATACGATCCCCGTTGATTATGGGATCATTAAGCAGTAAGCAGTAACTTAATATACCGTCGGTCGCCCGATAAAACCGTAATTTCCACAAATTTTCGAAAATCGTTTTTTTGCATATTTTGATAGTGCTCGGTGAGATACATGTCCCTGTAAAACTATTTTTCAGTTATCTCACCTCAAACGTGTTATCTGACGTAAGAAGAAAATCGTGAATAAACACCGTGCCCCAAAAGTCGCCTGATGAAACCGTGAATCCCACACCTGTGTGGAATTCACGACCTCATCAGTCGGTTTATGACTCGAGGGGCTGACCGTTGGCGCCGTGAACGCCTCTTTAGGTCATTGAAATATGGGCGACTGCGTTGTGCAAACACAATGGTCGGTCAGTATTAAAGGTGTACATAGGCTGTAGATTATAATTTAAACGACGTCGACAGCATGCGTTTGGCGTGAAAAGTCCCTGTCACATGATTAAAATGTTTGTTTCATAGATGCAGCACTAGTACTGTTCCACAATTTTTTAAAATTCGAATTTTTGATGCGTGTGCCCTTTGAGTAGTAGTTTACACAATTTTGATCTTGTTCGTTTGCAAAAAGATGACGTTGTAAAGTACAGGTTACAAGTATTTTTCCGCGTTGATTCACAAACTTAACTTGTTTGACATTGAAAGCTCGCTGATTTGACATCAGAATTACCTAACGAGAAAAGGAATGTTACGAAGCCGAGCAATGTGAACCACTTTGGACATCAAAGAAAGCTACAGAACATCCAGCATGGAAATAGTAGAACCAGATCTCAATGAACAGAACAAAAGTTGTTTCTTTTTTAGACCTCGGAGAGAGAGCGAGCGGCCAGCAATGAGCAGTACAATTCAAGAGATAGGACTATTAAAAAATAATGAACTGAAACACAGATATGATTGCTAAACAAAATCAACTGAACTACTCACTATTGAAAGACAAAGGCAGAACAACTGTCTTTGTCTTTGTTTGGACTTGAGGAGAGAGAAAGACCTGTGTGAACGGGCTTCTCAACACGAAAGAGTACTGCAAAGGCGACACACCCAGACGAAAAACGCACATTAGGGTTTATTATCTGAAACAGAACAACTAGAAGATCAACATTTGCAGGAGTGTGTTGATATCTTTCACCGAACATGCCCATTGAAAAATGGTCTAGAAGAGCCCATGCCGGTTTCATCATCACTTGTCTCACCCTCTAAGGACAATAAATACTTTCCGATGTTCCCTCCCTGGGCTAGCTTCTTCATATCTTTCAAATGTCTATCCACTTTTGTCTTCATAATTCTCTTCGACTTTTCTACAGGTTCCATATTGACTTCTTCTTGTTCTTTTAACCTGTCGATTTCAAGTTAACACTTTCATTGTTATGGGGCTACTTGATTTCCTGATGGTATGCTTAATCCAATCCATCTCCTCCCCTTTCTTCTGTATTGATCTCCTTAAATTACTTCCCCGTTGGCGACTGGCTATCCTTCTGATCCTAGGTAACTTTCTAGGGCACTTGTTGATGACAACCTGGATCCTCCAGCACTTTGTAAAGAGTGCATTAGAAGAGTCCCAACCAGCTCTAGCCTCAAATAACCCACAAGGGGCCAGCAAACCAAAGAGTTTCTGTTCAAATCTCTGCGGACATGTTTCGAAAGGTATTCTCCAATTATTGCCAGCAAAGCTGTGGAAAACTTTTTCTTGATCCTTGACTTTGTAATCTGTCGGAGCCTCATCGGTTTTGCGAAACAGCAGGTCAGAGACAATCTGCCTTGTGTGTCAGAATACTCAAATATGTGCTAGATGGAAAGAAAATGTCGATATATAAGCCAAAAAAGATCGATATGAATTGTACGTGAGTTTTGAGTCTCACAACGTCAGCCAGACTAAGTGGGAATCTCACATGTGAGAAAAGAAAAGGACAAAGAAAGAGTACCACATGGATAAAAATCTTTGCTCTTTGGCCAAGAAGACCTTGTCAAGATTCGCATGAATCTTCAGGGTGCACTTTTGGCATTTTCTGTCAATTCCACCAGCTATTGTTTCTTAAGCATGCTCAAAATCCTCAATGTGACCTCGCATGATGCCATCTATCACTTGAGACACAAGGCAAAAGGTGGTTTGACTGCGAATGAATCCATACGTCGCTCGATGGACTTTTTTTCAACGTGCACACATGCATAGAAGGTTGTAATAATATTTACAGTCACAAGTGTGTGTAGGTGTGTGCATCAGCACAACATTTAAGCTTTTTCTAATGCCATGAGTGCTTTTTTCCCACAAAGGCAAACACCGAAATTGAACACAAAATCTTATTAGAAGCCACACTCATCAAATGGAAATGGGTAGTATGCGCAGTATCATTGAGCGGCGACTTAGAATAAAACCCACACAAATATACAGCCCACTAGATTGTGTTGCCCTTTTCAGAAGTGCAAAAAAAAAATAATTATATCGAGGCAAGACTCTACAATGTGAAATTTGTGGATCACATTTTTGTCATGATTTTGCCAAAATCGCAGTCCATAGCTATGCATAAGAAGAAATTATTTACAAACTGACGATGAGTCTTTGAAAGTCCAGAAACAAGGTAAAATTAACAAACAGTTCCCCACCACTTTATCAATCTCCTTTAAAAATCGCAAAGAATAAATTTCAGGATTTGATATACAAAAAGAGGAAGATAGTGAGAGTGGTCATTTACAGGGTATATAAGGTTGATGCAAATCAAATTTCCAACCCATCCAATCCCCCCCCCCCATCCTAAACACCCCACGGAGAAAACGTCACACACACACACACACACACACACACACACACACACACACACACACACACACACACACACACACACACACACACATACATTAATTTGGAGAAAAAAAGAAAGAAAGAGAGACAGAGCGAATAAAGTTGTATGATTTCATAAATTTCATACAATAAACTTTACTTTCATACTCTGTTTTTAAATTGGGTTTTTTAAATATTTTTAAAATAACAGTATTGCATGTTTTTAAGTATTTGAAAAGTACCAGGGCTTCTAACAAGAGAAAACACACTACTGATGAAATCGTGAATTCCACACCTGTGTGGAATTCACGACCGCATCGGGCGAGATTCGAAAATGAAAATCGTGAATCCCACACTTTTTTGAAAAGATGACCATTAACGGCAAAAAATGTACTTTAGTATCATTTCTTAAAGGTACTGGGATATATTCATCCATTAAGTTTATGTCTTGAACGCCAAATGACGGAGAAAATCAGTTTTTTCCCCTCTCCTGTAAAATTTGTTTCGTGTGGAATTCACGATTTCATCAGGCGACCGACGATATGATTCCTTTTTTGTATGTGTCTATATTATGTCAAAATAGCGTAAAGCATTATTTCTTCCATCAATAACACTCTGTTATAATTCTCCAAATCCCCCCCCCCCCCTTTGCATCCAGAACTCGATCCGGAACCAGGACGATGTGCTGGTGGCACGACGGCGCCTGGCCCTGATGATGATCATCGTGTCCGTGCTGTTCACCGCCTGCTGGCTGCCCTACTACATCTTCAACATCTGCTTCGACTTCGAGGCGGACTCCTCTGGCCAGCTCATCACGCTCTACCCGTTCACGCTTCTGCTGGGGCACTCCAATAGTGCGCAGGTAGTCCTCCCCGCCCCCCTCTCTCTCTCTCTCTCTCTCTCTGTCTCTCTTTCTGTCTCTCTCATCTCTCTCTCTCTCTCTTTCTGTCTGTCTGTCTGTCTGTCTGTCTCTCTCTCTCTCTCTCTCTCTCTCTCTCTCTCTCTCTCTCTCTCTCTCTCTGTGTGAGTGTGTGTGTATGTGTGTGTGTGTGTGTGTGTGTGTGTGTGTGTGTGTGTGTGTGTCTGTGTCTGTGTCTGTGTCTGTGTGCCAGTGCCACACGCTCCTCAATGGCATGACAAGTTTAAAGTCTCTGGGATTTCTTGTGCCTTTTAAGACGTGTCTGTTTTTGTTTTTTTATCCGTTTGTTACATTTCATTCATTCATTCATTTATTCATTAATTCACTCATTCATTCATTCACGGTCATTTATTTATTTATTTATTTATTTATTTATTTATTTAAATTGTGTCTATGTATTATACTTTTTTTAGAGGGGGGATTCATTCATTCATTCATTCATTCATTCATTCATTCATTCATTCATTCATTCATTCATTCATTCATTCATTCATTCATTCATTCACGGTCATCTATTTATTAATGTATTAATAATGTATTTATATATTTAAATTGTGTCTATGTATTATACTTTTTTTTTAGAGGGGGGAGTCTATTCATGGTCTTCTTATAATCAGGGAAAATTTGGTTTGTTGTCATATGGCTGTTTAAGTCTTAGTTTAATTTTTCTTCCCAATTACCCCAACCTGGTTATGATCCAATCCAAAAATTAATATGATTTTTGTTATGTGTTGTTTTAAAAAGAAACATGCTTAAAACATCTGATTATCTGCTTTATATCTCGTCACACCCAACACCTTCACTCTGTGTTGAACGCTTTATTGAGCCACGATTCATTCACACATAGTAAAAAAAAAAATGTTAACACCTACGTGAAGACGGTGCTGGCGTATGTTACTTTGGGAAACTGTCATGTGGGATTCGAGCTGTTTTTTCAACAACAAAAATATCATCTTGCATTAATAATGTTTTCCTCCGGGGGTGTTTTAGATTATTCTCTGCGGTATTCAAATAAAGAAGTTATTCGATGATGTTTGTTTATTGAGACGGGAGGGGGTGGGGATGGGGGTTATGCAAATGGAAACGGCATTTTTATAAGGTTTATTTCCAGTGGAGTACATTTAAAGGAAAGCAAATGCATGTAGGCTAACCTACAACCCTAAACAGGAATCTAAAATTACTAGTGAATCGACGTTGTTACGAGGAACAGGGCTGCGTATATGACTTCCCTATTTAGGATGTATGAACAAAGAACAATCTATAGTTGGTTCACTTTCCTCCGATTGCAATTATATCACGATAAAAGGAAATCATTCTGTTTAATTAATCTTCTCAGATCTTTGCATTCAGAAGTTGGATGAACAACAGAATCTAAAAGCCTATTAGAAAGGTCACAGCCAACTAACGTTCCGACACATATTTTTTTAAATATAAGCCTAAATCGGGTCCCAAAAAATAATACTGGATCAACAAGATAGACCTAAAATATTCAAAAGTTGACATATTTTCTTCAACACTACACTTAAATGTTCACCTGAGAAACACGACTCAACAGACGGAATGAGTAATTTTAGAGACTCACGTGGGGCACGTGGAGATGCCTAGACAGTGAGTGGATGAAATCTACAAGCTTAGACTGAATGGTGAGGGCAGGGTGGTGTCACTGTCTCAAAATTAGCAATTTGTAGGCAAGACTACTGAAAGTAATTTCTTTTAGTGATCCTGTGTTAGATGGTTCTAGTGTAGAGCCAAACGAGAAAAAAAATGTAATGTCTGTTTTTACGTAGCTTTTTTTAGAGCATCCGAGCAAAGGAATGAATGGAAAACCATGATCGCCGATGTCTGTCGCAGATCTGACACTGGATGATGAATGTCTGTTACCGGGTCAAGATTTTTGCAGAAAAAAAATAATTCTTGTTTGCTTTTCTTGCCTGCACAATTGTCATGCAAAGTCTCGTAGGCATAGGTAAATTCATAAATGAGCTGGATAATAATATTTTTAACGCGGACAGACAAGGTGAACGAAGCCTTTACTGCAAAGCGTGAGCTTGTGGCAGGGGAAACAACTTTAGATAAAGAGAACCCGTCGTAAAGTGCTCGATTGACTCCCTTAGATTGCAATTTTCCAATGTCGTCATTATGTTTGCATTGTCAGAGAAGGGTAACCAATCTCTTATCACCAATTATTATTTTGATAATTTTGTAAGGTTAGCTCAGATGGTTTTTCTGTTCTCGCACACAATTTATGGTCATTTTCCCCCTTCTTTCCTTTCTTGGTGATCAAAGTTAAAGAATCATTGTCTTGCTCGTTCTGGTTCCTCGAATCCCGTGCGTGTGTTGATTTGTGGGTATGTGTGTGTGTG